CAACACACATACAAATCCACACACATTAGTAAATATACATACATAACACAATCGTACAAACAAATTTGTATTCATTTATGCAAATATATGTATATATATACACTGAAGACAAATATATTTACACACACACACACACACACACACACACACACACACACACACACACACACACACACACACACACACATATATATATATATATATATATATATATATATATATATATATATATATATATATATGCCATTCTCTTCATATATAAGTACGCCCTTTGTTACACACGCATACACTCAGACATACCCTATACTTGTAATGAATATTTGAAATCCATCTGAACCGCATTGTTATTGCTTATACTTATACCTATATCCTATTTTGCATCGCTTCACATGTACAGATCTCGATGGCTCTGGCCTTGGTGGTGGCCCTGGCATGCCTGGTGAGCTGGACCAGCGCCATGCCTGAGCCTGACCCCGTGGCTGACCCTGACCCCGTGGCTGACCCCGGCTACCGTCGCTTCGGTGGATTGGGATATGGTGGATACGGCTACGGAGGTCGTGGATACGGATACGGGGGCTTCGGATACGGAGGATACCGCGGTGGCTTTTACGGATAATAGGTTTCCGGCGACTCCCCAGAAGTATATGGAATGACCACCTCGAGATGACTGTTAAAAAATTTCCTGCATTTCCTCTCTAATAAAGTATATGGATGAAAGTTTAGGATTATTATCATGTTTTATATAAAAATCCACACTCAATATATGATCACGAATACAAGCATACACACTTGATTCATATATTTGATAAAGAAGCCGAGATCGAAATGGAGCAACGCTTTTCAACATATGCCAGATACCTAAAACTTGTGGTTAAATATTTGATATTTGAAGAAGAATTCAGCTTTAATTGTCAAATTTCCTTTGCGGATGTTTAAGCTCTAATTTCTTATTCTGTTTACATTGAATGAATTAGTTCATTTGTCCAATATATACACTTTCTTAGCGTTATTATTGTTATTTCATTATTATTATTATTATTATTATTATTATTATTATTATTATTATATTATTATATTATTATTATTATTATTATTATTATCATTATTTATCAATATTATTATTATTCTTTTTTCATTTTCTGTTTTCTTACTTTTATATCTCTTTTTCATATGCAATGATATTCGAAGCAACTCTATATTCTTAAAGTATATTAAATTTCTGCTTCCACTAATAGGGAAACTAACGTGTGAATATTATGAAAATAGAAGACCAAATATTATGGAGGGTACTTTTATGACAAGCTTACCTAGGCTAGGATAACAACCTTCCGTACGCGACTAGTTGTCAGCATCCCACTTAGTTTAGTCTGACCTAGAGAGAAGTTTGAACCACAGAAAACGTTTCCAAGTCTGCTGGGACGGTCACTAACCTTACGTCCATTGAAGTCATCGTACACCTGGCAGCTGATGTTCTATGCTACTCCAGACAGGTGACAGACCGCTAGTTGTGAACATATTGTATAATTCGCAATATAAAAATTTCCTCCTCTTCTGCCTCTATTTCGGTATTCTTAAATAACCACCACATAACGTCGAGAAAGATATGTTCAATAACATAAAACATATACGTGTTCAGACACACGCAAACATACATATATTTATATATATGCATGTATATATATGCATATATATGTATATATATATGTTTATGTATGTGTATGTATATTTTATATATATATATATATATATATATATATATATATATATATATATACTTTTATGAAATACATATATATAGTGCATATATGCATACATTTATATATGTATATATAAATATATATTATATATAATATATATATATATATATATATATATATCAATTTATGAATGTATGTATATACATATGTATATACATAAATACATATACATATTTACACATCATATATGTATACATTTTTGTACATGATCATTTATATGAACAAGATATATGATACATACGTGTGTATTCATATACAAATACACACATACACATAGACACACACATATAAGTATATCATACATATAATATAATAATATATATATATATATATATATATATAATATATATATATATATATATATATATATATATATATATATAATGTATTTGATTATATATATGTCCATATATGTATTTATATATATATATATATATTTGAATACATATATTTGAACATATATATACATATATACATACATACATGCATGTATATACGCATATATATATATATATATATATATATATATATATATATATATATATATATATATATATATATATAATATGTGTGTGTGTGTGTGTGTGTGTGTGTGTGTGTGTGTGTGTGTGTGTGTGTGTGTGTGTGTGTGTGTGTGTGTGTGTGTGTGTGTGTGTGTGTGTGTGTGTGTTGTGTGTTATATATATATATATATATATATATATATATATATATATATATATATATATATATATATATATATA